TCTACGATGGTACATCCGCGGTCGAGTCCAAAATTGTCGCGTCTGTGTAGTATATATGTGTTGAAACGCAGTCTAGGGAATTAGGATTTATCCCTGAGTAAAACCGTTCATCCGATTGGACGTTACACGAACAAAATGCATCAAGCGCCATTTGTTTGGACGCTCAATTTTCGGTCAGTTGCATTCAGAAAGTGCGGCGAGTTACTTGTGAGGGTGGAGGGAAAAGCGACGCGCGTTTTGTCGCAAGCAATACGCGGACGCGATTATGCGAAAGAACAAATTGCGATACGGAAAATCGCAGGATCACGATGCGTAAAAAATTGTACACGTCGAATTATCGTAATCCGCATAACCGTCTACTGTGCCCGTAAGCTTTGCGTTATTTACGGTTGTGAAACTGCAGGGATCGATTGTTAATTTACGAGGAGAAGGAAAACGAAAGGGAACACGATGTCTCTGAGCGCGAGCGCGGAAAATTTATCGTCGGAAGGGCAAGTAAGTGAACCATACTAATTATTACATTTTTCCATGCGTGACTCATACACCATTCTGTTACCGCGTTACTGTGTACGATTCATTCACTTTTGTCCATTTCACTTTTTATTATGTATTAACACTGTATAATTTCTTGATGATTTCTGTAAACAATAAAAAATATATCGAGACAGAAATAAATGATATTGAACATTTATGTGTACGTCTTTTTAATCAACTTACCGTTTATATTCATTTATCTAATAATTCGTAGATTATTTTTAGCGTAATATATATTTTTTCTATAAACTTAGTATTAGTTTCCAATTATTGACAAGAAAAAATTTGAAATGCTAGTAGGAACACTCTGTCTGCAGTAAATTTGTTGCACTTGCATATTCAGCCACTCCCATGATCATTCCAATATCCTTTCCACATTTTTTTAAAATGAAACCATATTGCAATCATGTATTAGATATTTTCTGAGTACTCTCCTGATTAAATTACTATAATTTTGCTATGATTTTAATATATTTTAACTGATCAAAAGTGTAATTTGGGTGGATGATAGTATGTGATGGATGAATTTCTTGTATTTAACAGAATAGTGAAAGGTGGAACATGTGCCTTGAACTGGCACTCGAGGGTGAGCGCCTGTGTAAGGCTGGAGATTGCAAGTCTGGTGTTGCATTCTTTCAAGCTGCGATTCAAGCTGGCACAGATGACTTACGAATCTTAAGTGCAATTTACAGCCAATTAGGAAATGCATATTTTTACCTTGGTGATTATGTAAAAGCAATGCAATATCACAAACTGGATTTGACACTTGCACGTAACATGGGTGATAAATTAGGGGAAGCAAAGTCTAGCGGAAACTTGGGGAATACATTAAAAGTTATGGGAAAGTTTGATGAGGCTATGATTTGTTGCAAAAGACATTTGGAAATTTCAAGAGAAATTGGAGATAAGGTGTGTGTGCTTAAGGAATTATTTCAGGTTTCTAATTTGTATTCCAATGTTAGACTATTTTTAAAAGTTATTTTTCATACAGCTCAGTGAAGGGAGAGCTTTATACAATTTAGGGAATGTTTATCATGCTAAGGGCAAACAAGCTGGTAGAGTAGGTCACCAGGATCCTGGAGAATTTTCTGAGGATGTCAGACAATGCTTACAACAAGCTGTACGCTATTATGAGTAAGAAGATTGAAGCATCAAAGTTTCTAAGCTAAAACCTAGATAGGATGGAAGTATGAATTTTATGAATTCCTTTTCTAGAGAAAACTTAGAATTGATGAAGGAATTGGAAGATTCTGCTGCTCAAGGCAGAGCATGTGGTAATTTAGGGAATACATTTTACCTCTTGGGTGATTTTCAGCAAGCAATTTATTATCATAATGAAAGATTAAAGATTGCCAGGGAATTTGGTGATAAAGCTGCTGAAAGAAGGGCAAACAGTAATTTAGGGAATTCACATATATTTCTTGGTGAATTTGAGAAAGCTGCACAGCATTACAAGTGTGTATCTCCATTACATTCTTCTATACAATCAATAGATTAATATGTAAGTAAATATTCATCTTCATTCTACTGTAGGAGAACTCTAGTTCTTGCACAAGAATTAGGAGATAGAGAGGTAGAAGCACAAGCATGCTATTCCCTAGGAAATACATATACTCTACTCAGAGACTACCCAACTGCAATAGAATACCATTTGTGGCATCTTGAAATAGCACAACAGCTTAAGGATCGAGTAGGTGAAGGCCGTGCCTGTTGGTCTTTGGGCAATGCATATGCTGCAATGGGTAACCATGAGAAAGCACTGCATTATGCCAATTTACACTTGAACATTTCAAAAGAGTTAGAAGATCCAATGGGGCAAGCAACTGCACAAATGAATGTTGATGATTTGCAAAAAATTCTGGGCTTGGAGAAAGGACAACAGGAGAGTAATAAAGAAAATATTGCCCAAAAGCTTTCAACCAATACAAGCTCAAATGTTAACACATCTCCAACATGTAGATACAGACTTAGAAGACAAAGCATGGATAACTTGGATCTTATTAAGGTAACTTAACTATTCAATATAATTTTGTTATCTAAAATAATATTGAGTGAGAAATTGTTAACAGAAATAGTATTTTCATTTAGCTCACACCGGATGCAAAATTAAAAGAGCAAGCCGAATCTCAAACAGATAAGAGTAATAACGTGACACCACAAATTACTCAAAAAGAAGACGACAGTTTCTTTGATCTTTTGTCTCGTTTCCAATCCGGTAGAATGGATGACCAACGCTGTGCATTGAACATAAATCGCAATCCGAAGTTTAGAACAATCACTCCCGAAGTGTGCGATTCGGACGATAAGTACGTATTTATAAGTGTGCACTACTTTGTATGCAGTTAACAAATATTTAAATAAATTATTATCTTTTTCAGAGATGGTGAAGATTTATTAGAATTGATTGCTGGAATGCAGAGTAAAAGAATGGACGAGCAACGAGTGACGCTGCCTTATTTACCTGGCCTAAACAGTAATCAAGATTCTGACGATTCTTTTATTGAAATGCTGGTGAGGTGCCAGGTACATATCATTAATTTATTAGCATCTATTTTTTATTGAACTTGTTATGTTGAGTGTCTTATTGAATTATGTATTTAGGGTTCACGTTTAGAAGATCAGCGAAGTCCTTTGCCAGCAGCTTCAACGGTGCACGATGCTGAAGAGGAGCATAGCCAAAGATCTAATGGGACTACTCAAGCAGGATCGACTGTTCCTGAGGAGGATCTTTTTGCTTTAATACAAAGACTTCAAGCGGGGCGAATGGACGATCAAAGAGCCTCTGGACCTGGCAAAACCTGTTAAAGCATTAATATGTATAATTGTGGGAAGTCTTATGGTAATGAGCCTGCTTGAAATTCTACAACTCGTTCCATACAATTCCTCGTTGTCTTCTTTAATGATTTACGAAACGTTTCGGGGCTTAATTTATGCATTTTGCTCACACAGCCTATGAAATCATTGCACGTGTATGATTCAGATTCTAGGAAACTGCAAGGTACTATTATACCGTCCATTGATATTGGTTTTCCGCTTTAGAATAACGCAACAACGACGCATTGTTGCGACCGTAGCAAGCCGATTTTTATATATTTAAAAAAAAAACATTCTTTTTCTATTTTTTTTTTCTTTTTCTATTGCTTGATATTATCCCGTAATATGGTGCCAAATTCTGTACATACGAACCTAAGTTATGCGTGCAAACGATCAGCAAATGCACGATATTAAATAAAGACTAATTTTGTATTAATATTTCTGAGATAAAATATTATTTTTTCGCAGCGGCAAAGAATGATTAAGTGATTCGTGAAAAAAAAAAGAAATTTATGACATTGTGAACACTGCCAGGCTGAGAGTATAAGTCATATGAATATTTCTTCAAAGAGTTTAAAGTGCTCTAACATCATGAGAATGCACTGGGTGAGGATTTATCAATCCTGGCATTATTTCTTGCATATCTGATATTGTACAATTGATTTAGTCTCGATTATGTTGGCGAATTTCGAGGTAGTACGTGATGAAATTGGTGCCAAACGAAATTGATACGTTAGAATTTAAATATTAAATATAAAAGGAAGGAAAGAAAGAAATTGTTGGTCCCTGTTATTCCATGTATTTTTCTGTATTTGCTGTTGTCTTCATTGTACGTTCCTTAACGTGCGCGAATTAATCCAAGTCTGTGACACGTACAATTATAATAATTTATAATGAACGTTACCATTTCCATTGATTACGATGTTGTAATCAGCTCCTGTCGTTCATGTACTTTGCACATTCCAAGTAGATGGAGTGTAAAACTGTATTCGCGAATAGACTGGATCGATCATGATTGCGGTATCATCTTGAAGTCCAAATAGTACCTAACTAAAAATTCTATAGTAATGTCGATACTCCAAAGCGCAGAAACTTAATTATACATAAGGGAATTCAATTTGTAAGGATTCTCGAACTTACAATTTGATACAGTGCACTGTATCGCTTGATCTCCTTGTGTTCCAAAAAAAAAAAAGAAGAAAAAACATTGATAAAGACAAGTAGATAACACACACATATTGAAAAAAAAAGAGGAACATATTCAACATTCCATTGAATAATCCATTGTATTTATAATCTTTAAAGGTACCTTAATAAGTAACTTAAATTAATGTAAATTTTCCCGCGTTGTTTATCTCTGAATACGCGATAAGATTATTATCAGAAAGAAAACGCTTCAGTCAACAATACTTAAAAAAAAAAAAAAAGAACAAGAAAACTGGAACAATGCCTTAATAAGTTTACGCAACTTCATCGACCTACGATGCGTGTATGTGCATTTCGAGGCTAAAGCGTTTCACGCCTACTTACTTATACATATGTACTAAATCCCAAAACTATAGAACCGACTATAAGAATTAAACCGAGCCTGAATTAAGCGACTAATAGAGCTATACGTCGAGTATTGTTCGAAGGAAGGAAATGATTAGTGTGGCGTAAAGCGAACAAGGAAAGAAAGAAAAAAAAATGCAGTGAGGACTAATTGTAATTCCTGTATGTACGAACGTAGTATTATTTTTCTTGTTGTTCAGGAAACTATGTAACTACGTGAACCTAAAATGCAAAAGCGAATTATTATAGAAAAAAAAAAAAAAGATACTTCGTTATAATGGTGTAAACGTACAAGCTCATCGTTCATCGTTGTCATTAAAGGGAGGGATCGAAGTAAACTATTGATTCGTTGTTGAGTTCATATAACGAGAAGATCGATAATACTATTTTCTGTAGACGTTACATTTGTACTACATTCTATATCTTTAATATATGTTTAATTTCGTAAGGTTGGCGATGGCGTACTAGGTACTAACGAGATAAATAGAGTTTCTTTCAAATTGTAATATTTTTTACGGAGTCTGTTTTCAAGGTAGATTCGCATCTCATCTTCATATAGTTATGTATAATACAGAGATTCAATAAATATATATACTTTTTCCACAAATTCTCGCGTTTTATTCCGTACGAACCTGTTTCTTTTTTTTTTTAATTTTTGACACAAGAACGATCGTCTTTTGCTGATTGAAGAAAGTTTCAAACATGTCTGTGAGATCCAAAAAAGTTGCAGAATCTGTATTTGAGGCTTCTCCTATAGACGATTCTGCGTTATGGCTGGAATGGAACGACGCGGTGCTAAATAAAGAAAATTGGGCGATTCCTAAAAGTAACTAGAAGTAAAGTGACAGTTTTATTCGTAGTTATCATTCATACTACTGATTGTAGATGGACCAGATGGTTTGTTTCTTGATACACAGTTCGTCCAATTACCGCCATCTTTGGAATCTTACGAATGGATAAGGGCTAGGAATTTAGAGAATTTGACTGTGGGTTCCACTCTAAGAATTAACTCTCATTCTCTTATTTATTTATTTTATCCTCGTAAAGAATATTAACCCCTACGTTAATCTGGTGAATTTTTGAGAATTTAAAATTCTTATTTTCTGTTTGCATGGTTTTGATAAGTGCTAAAATTGATAAAGTGCGATTAATTGAGCCTCACTTGCAATGTTAAAAATAATAGAACGAAAATACATTTCTAATTAACTTAACAAGCATCGTTCAAACTTAGGAACCACCAACATTGTTCGTCACCGATTCAGGGTACCCAGATTTGATAACCAACAACAGACACCTACTCCACAGTCAAGTAATAGGAATTAAAAAAAAAAAAAAGACTCTTTCAAGGACGAATATGCCTCAATTTCACCCTTAACCCTTGAACACTACCAATAATTTTTTGTGACGTTAATATTAACATGGAGTACACTATATCCCATGTATAATAGTAAAAATAATACTAACATTTCTTTTTAATTAATTTTTCTAACATTGAAACTATAAAAATTGTTTATTTCAAGTTGAAAACAAATTGATAAGTATCTACATGTTTATTAAATGTAACAATATTGTATTAAGTCATCCCATAAGTTCGTGTCGAATTTTGACTAAGTTTAATAATCAATATTATTATATTTTAATAATTTACATCAATATTTTCAACAAATTTTTAAGTTTGATTAAAAATAAACGTAAGTGCCTTCTCATTTCACAACTTTTTTCTATTCTTTCTGTTTTTGGTAAGACCATTATGCAGTCGCTACAGTATTTCCTTGTATTTTCATTAAAACATTTTTCTCTTTCGGCACGAACTTATGAAAAAGAATCCCTTGGGGCACCGTGCTCCCTGTGTCAGTGTTCTACGATCAAAATCCACAAACACACCGTCAGTGTTGCACAACCAAAGACAAACACAGAATAAAATAAAAAAACGAGGGTCAGTACTCGTCCAGAAAGAGTCACAATGCGATCCACGATTGTTCGTGATCGTGGAACAATTGATCGAAGCGTGCGCGCCGATCAAGAAGTGGCCCGCCTCGCACAATTGAACGTGGTTCAATTAAGGAACGACTTTCAGTTCGCGCGTTGGTTTATTTCCGCGCTAATAAATCTCCAGTACTGCGGCCAGGATGGATTGGAAATAAGTGGCGAGAACGGCAATTTCATTTGGAATGGGCGGTACCAATCTTGGCAGGGCTGGTTCAATGTGTATTCGATGAACAAAGCTGGCAAGGGGACGCAACATCGTCCCGTCGTAAATCCGCACGGTACGCTCTCGACATTTTTATCAATCCCCCTGTTGTTGTTCTTTTTTTTCTTCTCTCCTTTTCGCTTTGTCTTCGATGCAAATTATCGACGTTATCCGTGACGCGTTACGATTCAATCGATCGATCTACTCTTGTGAATAAATTAAGATTATAGTGTCTGTATTTTGGTAACACTTTATCGTTTTTATCGAGATTACGTTTTATCTTTGTTTACATGTATTATTAACACGTGAAATTCATTGCATAATTCTTGGCTTAAATATTAGATAATCGTAGTAAGCTTTTTCATTTGATATGTTATTGCGATAATGAGCCATTAATGTTTTCAGTTCCTTTTAAAAAATTTGTCTAATTTCTGAATTTTTTGTACAAAGGTTGAGTTAAGTTAGGTTGGTAATCTAGCAATATATTGTATCTTATGTAATATTATCATAAGTAAGAAAAACCGTAATGAACAAAATTATGGAACAGTTTGAAGTCGTTTTATAGATTGCAAAGCTGAAAGCAGCGATCTCTTTCCTGCACCGAATACGTAGTTTGAAATGGGAAGTTCGGTTATTTATTATGGATATAGATAAAATATGTGTTAAGTGTAAGTTATAGTATCATGTTGATTAATTTATTGATAAATGAAAAATTTAAATAAAATTCAGATTTGAAGAATTTAATTCTAAATTTGCAATTAGAATTGTATTTAAGAAATTACATTTGAACAATTTAATTGTAAATTTAAAATGAAAAAATTCAACTCTAAATTTTCAAGGTTGACTCCAAAATTTAATTTTAAGAATTTCATTGTTCGATTAATTGAGGAAAGTATAATAGATATAGCAGGTCTGAAAAAGTCAACAAGTCCTTTTAGTTTTCTTTTTTTTTTTTAAGTGCAGTAAATTCTCTCCAAGAGTCAGTAAGTTTGGATTCTACAAGTGACAGTATAGATGGTCCTACGCCTAGCTCTGCGCCCATGTTATCTCGCTCACAGTTAATCAAGCGTGTAACGCTATACCGGTCGGTTTCCTTTACGAGATTTCACGGCTCGACAAATCATAATAGAAAAATATAATTTCTTTAATTTTACTTTTTTTCATCTGGAATTTTTTTTAACATGTTGGTGAGATTTTTCTGATGAAAATGATATCAAACACGATATAATTTGAACAAAATTTACTTATTAACACGTTCACTGTCGCGCCAGATATACAGGTTGCTGTCAGGCGGCCACAAGAAAATACATTTTAAATATAGGATTATAGTATTATGATTTATAATTTTTTTTTTTTTTTTCAATTGAAAATAATGTCTAGCTAGCTATGACGTTCAAAATTTTTAGTTGACAACATTTATTTTATTTTAATTATTCTAAACATTTGAGGCACTCCAGTCACTGATGACCACCATGGCCATATCGAGGAAACAATCTAACGTTAAAACTTATTGAGTGATTAATTTAATTTCATAATATATCGCTTTGGATGAATTACAAAAACAAATTGCTAAAAAATTACATTAAATACCTGTACACATTATCCGTCGAATGTAGAGGGAGAGCCACCGTTTGGTTGCCAATTGTTTATCACATAGAGTCGGCCTACCCCCACGGAAAAAAAAAAAAAAAATGTAGGGTCCATAGCAGCAGAAAAGCTGCTAAACAATTAGAATTAAATGTAACGATAGAAATTATTGCAACAATGCGTAATGCAATTGAAAAATTGAAAGAATCAAAAGAAAAAACGCGAATTCATATCTTTCTCGATTCTAGAATATAAGAAAATTTGAATAAAATACGCGACGAGAATTGGGGAGAAGCATAAGTTAAACGCGTAAAAATATTCAATAATAAACGAACTAGGGATGAAGCTATTATTTCAATACGCGATGCACTGACTCTAGTATTTACTAAAATTCAAAAATTCTCGTATAAATTCCGAAAATAGATTATTAATTACGGTAAACTACTGAGACGGTTTAATTAAGGGTGGGCATGGTGCTGCTTTAGTTTGAAATGATTTATAAACACATAATTAACAGAGGAAAAACCGTGAAACGGCAAAACGTCTACATTCTAATTGTTATAACATGTAAACAGAACTTTAAATTTAGTGTAAACAGAAAAAATATATAATACAATTTATTTCACGGTATTGCAACAAATAAACGTTGAATCAATATTTAATTCGTATAAAAACAATTATTTAACGTAATAATTTTACCTTCACTATGGCTATTTTTAATCTACGACCACAGGTCAACCTGATTTCTAATCCTTACGAACTTTAAATTCAGTCTAAACTGAGAAAATATATAATACAATTTATTTCACGGTATTGCAACAAACAAACGTTGAATAGATTCTTAATTCGTATAGAAACATTTATTTAAAATAATAATTTCACCTTCACTATGGCTATTTTAAATTTACGACCAAGGGTCAACCTGATTTTTAATCCTCCGAACTTGATTTCACAACGAGAAAGTAATAAGATCGTTGAAACGTACTTATTTGTCAAAGAAACTTGCAAAAATGTATAAATAATAATATGTAATGTTTTAACAAATTTTTGGAAGTATAAATTAATAATAAAATTGTGAAAATTAATAAATTATACGTTATTATAACATTAATAGAATTATGACTAAACCGAAGTTCGAAGTCGAGTATTTAAAGTCTGATATTACGTGCCTAGCGAGTGCCGGTAATTGTTAAAATTTGTTTAATAATTAGTAATAGAAATTCTAATTGATTCTAATGTATACAAGTGTTACAAGAAGGCTGAGTGTGTACAGGGTGGACATAGACTAGCTAGTAGCCCCCGACCACTCTATTCACATCTCAGAACCTTCAGGTCAAAATACGCCGCGAAGTGTCTAGGGCCCAGTATAAAGGGTAAATGATTTCGCGGGACATCGGCGGGTCCTTATATACCTGCGGTACCCTCTCCCCAAAGTCATTAGCAAAATCGTCGGTTAGGTCAGGCGGGAAATTTTCGCGGGAGATTTTCGCGGGAGATTTCCGATATCGTAACACGGTATAATTTATCAATTTTCACAATTTTATTAAAAATTTATACTTCCGACAATTTGTTATAACATTGCATATAACAATTTATACGTTTTTACAATATTCTTCAATGGAAACATAGGTTTTAGCGTTCTCGTTACTTACTCGTGGTTAAATTAATTTCGTAGGGATTAAAAATCAGGTTGACCTGTGGTCGTAGATTAAAAATAACCATAGTACAGCTAAATTTATCGTGTTAAATAATTCTTCTTACACGAATGAAAAATGTATTCAACGTTTGCTTGTTACAATACCATGAAATAAAT